TGAAGGAAGCATAGGAACTTTCCAGGCAAAGTGAGAAAAGAATATTCAAAGGAGACGGGCTGGAAAGGGTGCAAGCATGAAGGAGTGAGCTTGGGGCCTGTGTGAGGAGCAGGAGAATTCCAGAGGCTGGTACTAGGGTCTATGGGAGGAGGGGTCACAGAAGAGGATGAAGAAGTAAGTAGGGCTGAATGTGAAGTCTTTTGAAGGCTAAGGAGCTTGATTTTTTATTTCAAGCTATTGGCTAGTTGTAAGCAAAGGGTTGAAAGCATCAGATCTGTGTTTGGCAGAATCACTCTGGCTAGAGCGTGGAGAATGGAAGGGAGTGGGACTGGTTAAGGCAGGGGTTGGCCAACTACAATAGGTGGGCCTGTTTTTACACCAACTGTGAACTAAGAATGGGTTTTGCATTTTTAAAAGCCTGAAAAACAAAAGAAGAATATTTTGTGACATGTGATAATTGTATGAAATTCAAATCTCAGTGAAATTCAGATAAAATTGTATTGGAACACAGCCGCGTTTATTCGCTCCTGTGTTGTCTGTGGCTGCTTTCGCCTGCAATGGCAGAGTTGAATACCGGTGATGGAGACTGTATAATACACGAGTACCTGCATAATATCCCTGATTTTGTCTCTTGGCCTGCAGAATCTGATAAAATATTTGCTATCTGGCCCTTTAAAGAAAAAGTTTGCTAATCTCCAAATGAAGGGATTGTTTTAGCATTTCAGGCAAGAGGCCTGCACTAGAGTAGTGGCAGCTGGGATGGAGAAAACTGGATGAATTTGGGAATGATGCAGGAGGTAGACTGTGTACAAGGAGTAAATAGAAAAGGAGTTTAGGAAAATTCCCAGCCTTCTGGCTTGAGCAGCTGTGTGAGTGGTGGTGCCATCAAGCCAGGAATGCCCAGAAGGAGAGTGGGACTCAGGGGCAGGGAGGGCAGGGCCTGGACGAGGAAGAACTGTTTTCAGACCTATTTTGTGTGATAGTCTGATTCCTGCAGTGATGCAGTTTGTGTGCACCAAAGATGCTAAACACAAAGACATCAGAAGCGATAACCTCAGGCCCTTTAGAGCTTGAGGAAGGTATGGGGCTCTTGAGCATTCAAAAGGCTTCTGTGCTCGAAAGGTGAGCAGGTCCCTGACTGAATTTCCAGCTGGGTCAGCGTGAGTGCTGTGAAATCCAAGCCAGGCTCCTAAGAATGAAGCCAAGGATTCCAAAGGCCTGGGGAGGCACTGGGGGCATCAGCTCCAGCTGAGCTGTCCATGGATGCCGAGTCTCCTCTCATCCATCTCCTGGGTGGTGAGGTCGGCGTAGTGGCCAGAGAGGTAGAGCCTGCCCCTGTAGGTTTTATAGTAGAACAAAATGAGCTGATTCTTCCAGGGCCTTGGGTTCCTGCTGAGGTTTGGAGGCTGGAGCTGGGGAGGCCAACACCACCTACTCCATCAGTTTGTCCTGTGCTCCTCTTGTCTGGGAAGCAGGCTCAGGCAGCTTCCAAGAGCCAGTTCTATTCCTTTGGTTGCCAGCAGATGGCACTAAAGTGATACATTGGGCACTGGGGCGGGCGAGGACGTGGGAGGAGAGCGGATCCTAATGTCCCCCTTCTCCGGGCCGCTCCCACCTGGTGGTAGTGGTAGGGGAGTAGGTGACATTTACAAAGCAAACTCATTATTTCCTTAATTCCTGCTTAGGCACAAAATAGCCTTTGTTTCTGGAGCCAAGAAGGACTGTCAGGGTGGGAGGGGGTGCAGCATTTGGGGTAAACTGAGGCCATGCCCAGCTACCCCCTCCCTTTGGGCTCATGCCAATTCCTCCATTCTCTGGCAACTGGGTCTGCAGGAATCTTGCTTCAGAGGCCTGCAGGGCACAGACTTCACCTCTGTGAAGCCTTCCTGGACCGCGTGCCTTCTCCCACCTAGGCTTGCTCTTCAGTACTCCTTTAATCAAGCTGTTTTGGAGTGTGAGTTTCTTCTCCCTGGGCTGGGGGCACGGGACACTGGGCTCTTCAAAGCCCAAGCTGGAGGTGTAGGGAAAGAGCTGGTCTGAAACTAGACCCGATTTCTGGTATTTATCTGTGGGCAGCCTTGTCCTGTGTTAGCACAGGACAACACTGATCATAGAGCCATTGAGGTGCTTTCCCTACAGTCTATCTTGTCCTCTTAACTCTTCTGCAATGGACTTGTCCCCCTTTCAGATATGAGGACACTGAAAATAAGAGACATGCCTAAGGTTGTTCAGTGAAGGACATGGTGGTAGGACCTGTGTTTGAGACAAGGGGCAAATGTGAACTGCTAGCCTCATTCCTGATCCAAATGCCAGCTTTGACTCCCACTTTTAGTCTTCAGTAGAGGCCAGGTTAATCTCATTTCAAGGCTGCAGTTCTCCTGGCACTGCTCAGCTTCTTCAGTCCCTCTGACTCTCCCAGGATCTCAGTTCTGATACCTTCAACACAGGCCAGGGCCTTTAGCCCTGAAGGGGCTCAGGGCTGTGAAGGAGCAGTGGCAAGGGAGGGGCCCTCTCTGGGTCTTCAGTGTGTGGGAGGGGTATGAGGTTTGTGTCCTAGAGTCATTCCCATAGTGCTAGGCTTCCTGCTGGCTCCTGGCTAGCCTGTCCTGTCTACCTCTTCAGTGGACTGCCCTTGCCTGCAGTGTTGGTAGCTTCCTTTCCAAAGGTTCTGGGGGTCCTGACAGCTAGGTGTGGGGTGAGTTCCCACTTCTCTCTCTGCAAGGGTTTAGCCCACCCATGTCATCGTCCCTCTAGGCCAGTGTTTCCCAGACTTTAGCCTGCATCAGAATCACCTGGAGGAGGGCTGGCCAGTTAGCTCAGTTGGTTAGAGCACAGTGTTCTAACACCGAGGTCAAGGGTTTGGATTCCCATCTCTGGCCAGCCACCAAAAAACAAACAAACAAACAAACAAACAAACAAACAAACAAACAAACAAATCACCTGGAGGGCTTAAAACAGATGACTNCTGGTATTTATCTGTGGGCAGCCTTGTCCTGTGTTAGCACAGGACAACACTGATCATAGAGCCATTGAGGTGCTTTCCCTACAGTCTATCTTGTCCTCTTAACTCTTCTGCAATGGACTTGTCCCCCTTTCAGATATGAGGACACTGAAAATAAGAGACATGCCTAAGGTTGTTCAGTGAAGGACATGGTGGTAGGACCTGTGTTTGAGACAAGGGGCAAATGTGAACTGCTAGCCTCATTCCTGATCCAAATGCCAGCTTTGACTCCCACTTTTAGTCTTCAGTAGAGGCCAGGTTAATCTCATTTCAAGGCTGCAGTTCTCCTGGCACTGCTCAGCTTCTTCAGTCCCTCTGACTCTCCCAGGATCTCAGTTCTGATACCTTCAACACAGGCCAGGGCCTTTAGCCCTGAAGGGGCTCAGGGCTGTGAAGGAGCAGTGGCAAGGGAGGGGCCCTCTCTGGGTCTTCAGTGTGTGGGAGGGGTATGAGGTTTGTGTCCTAGAGTCATTCCCATAGTGCTAGGCTTCCTGCTGGCTCCTGGCTAGCCTGTCCTGTCTACCTCTTCAGTGGACTGCCCTTGCCTGCAGTGTTGGTAGCTTCCTTTCCAAAGGTTCTGGGAGTCCTGACAGCTAGGTGTGGGGTGAGTTCCCACTTCTCTCTCTGCAAGGGTTTAGCCCACCCATGTCATCGTCCCTCTAGGCCAGTGTTTCCCAGACTTTAGCCTGCATCAGAATCACCTGGAGGAGGGCTGGCCAGTTAGCTCAGTTGGTTAGAGCACAGTGTTCTAACACCGAGGTCAAGGGTTTGGATTCCCATCTCTGGCCAGCCACCAAAAAACAAACAAACAGTCCCTCTAGGCCAGTGTTTCCCAGACTTTAGCCTGCATCAGAATCACCTGGAGGAGGGCTGACCAGTTAGCTCAGTTGGTTAGAGCACAGTGTTCTAACACCGAGGTCAAGGGTTTGGATTCCCATCTCTGGCCAGCCACCAACAAACAAACAAACAAACAAACAAACAAACAAATCACCTGGAGGGCTTAAAACAGATGACTGGGTTATACCCTCAGAGTTTCTGATTTAGTAAATCTAGGATGACTCTGAGAATTTTCATATCTAAGTTCCCAGGTGATACTGATGCTACCGGTTAGGACCACTGTGAACTAAACTCAGCAGATCTGGGTTGTCCAAAGCCTGCATATTTCAAAGAAAGGTTTAGCCTTGCCTGGCTCCTGGGAGATAACGTGAAGCCCTCAGAATATCCTGTCTGATAAGAGTGTCTTTGCTTTCCTGTGGGCCTTGGGCCACACCAGATAGTCTATGCTAACAATGTGACCTATGGTGCAAACCTTAGGCACATGGTATCAGTTTAACCTCTGGCAGAGCTGGATACTAAGTAACTAAGTTCAGCCATGCCTACATGACCAATTTCCAGTAAAAACACAAGACATCAAGGCTTGGATAAGCTTTTCTGGTTGGCAATACTTCATGTATGTTGTCACACATCATTGCTTGGAGAGTTAAGCACTGTGTGCATAACTCCACTGGGGGAAGACAACTGGAAGCTTGCACCTGGTCTCTCCTGGACGCTGCCCTGTGCACCTTTTCCTGTTGCTGTTTTACTCTGTATTCTTCCACTGCAAGAAGCTGTAACTGTGAGTATAACAGTTTTGCTGAATTCTGAGTCCTTCTAGAGAATCATTGAACCCCAACAACAGCCACATTTTGAGACCACTGCTCTTGGCTGTGGGATTAACCTCTTTAGAATTCCTTTGCATTAGTCTTTGGGGAACCCTCACCAATGAAGTGCCATATAAGCTGGCCTGAGGGTCACCCTGAGGGAGTGCTTTAGCCTAAATACTCCAGCCCCCTCATCTCCACAGTCCAAGGGTCAGGAGGCTATGAATGGCCTGGAAGCCTGGGTGTTGCTTTGTAGGAGTAATCTATAAATGGGGGCTTGGAGCAGTTCTGTTCTTTCTGGGTGTGACAGGGCCTCAGAGTAGCCATGTATTGTAGGGCCAATAAAGAACATTCAGGGATCTGGGCAGTGGCAGTTTATTTTACCTGGCTGCCTCACTTCCAGATGCAGGTCTGCCTGTTGCTGCTCCACTCACCTGAGTCAGGGACCCCTGGCGCTGGGACCCACAGGCTTTGGTAGATCCAGCCACTCAGTGCTGCCCGTCCTGGAACCACCTCCTGGGCAGCAGCCCACATTCCACAGTACTTGGGCCCTCCCTGCCCCATCCTGCCTTGGCCTGAGACCAGGGCCTCGAGCCAACACAGAGAGTGTCCCTTAGTGCCCGCTGGTTATGTGGCTTTATTCACAGACTCAGCACTTGCTGAGGATGGAAGGAAAGAACATTTGGGCCCAGGCTGGGGCTGGAGATAAAGGCGGCTGGAAGGCCATGCAGGGGTCGGATTGGGGAGCTCACAGGAGAGAACCTGCTGGCTGGGCCAGGCCTGTGTGGGGCAGGGCTGGAGGCAGGCAGCATGCAGGAGGCCTGACTAGATCTGCACGGAGCAGATCCACCCATGTGGTGGCTATGAGCCAGCAGGGAGAAACTGAGGTTTCTCTGGGGCAGAGGTTACGGGTGTGGGGCTGGATAGCAGGCACCCCTGCCCCCTACTCTCAGGGAAATGACATAGTGGGACAGTCGGGACATCTGGCACCTGGTCCTACTGCTGCTGTGGGACTTGATGTGTGACTAGACAAGCTGGTCCCCTCTGGTGTCATTGTCCTGCTCATACTTGGACATTTGCCTCAGAGGTGACCCATCTAGAGACACTCTGGGGACATTTGTCAGGAAGCTGGACTATCCTGGAGAGTGTGCTTACGGCCCAGCTGGGAAGGCTCTGCCTATGGAGTTGGGGGGGATCCCCAGCTAGGAATCTCCAGCTCCTTGTGGGTCAAGCTTTGCTTTCTCAGTGGCTGGTGTAAGTTCCCGTTTGTGGCCCCCCAGAGGTACCATCTCACTCTGCAAACCAGGTCGCCACTGGGCTGAGGAAGACTGTAATGTTGAGCCTTCTTTCTCACAGCCTGTCCTGCTGGCTCCTGACTTCCTGCCTAAATGCAAACAAGGAGTCCAAAGCCCAGATCCTCCTCCCGAGCCTTCTTCCTGGTGAAAAGCCCACTCCCACCCAGTAGGGAACAGAAAAACCAGTTCCCCAGGTTTCCCTCCCTGCCTGGGAATAGCAAAGTTTGGAAAATTGGCAGGGTCTATCTTGGCTGTCCAGGAAGGTGACCCAGGGTCCTGGGAAGCCGAATGAGGCCCCAGCAGGGCCCTGGGGCTGAGGACATAGCCCCTGCCCGCTTTCCACCGGCCTCTCCTGGGATCGGGAGTGGAGGGATGCAGGAGAGGGGACCATCAGCATTGGCGGGAGGGGGTGCGGTGCACAGAGCCAGGGCGCTTGGGGATCTTGCGCCAGCGTCGCTTGTCCCAGCGGCAGAGCAGCAGCAGGCGGAAGGTGTCCCGGAAGGCTTTGTTGCAGAGAGCATAGCACATGGGGTTGACGGTGCTGTTGACGTAGCAGAGCCAGTAGCCCAGCTCCCACAGGGTCTCGGGAACACAGTCCTTGCAGAAGGTGGACACCAGCACCATGATGTTGTACGGTGTCCAGGTGAGGATGAAGGCCAGCAGGATGGCACTCAGGGTCCGAGCCGCCTTCTTTTCCTTGACCAGCGAGAAGGTCTTCCGCTTGGCCAGCTGCTCCTTCCCGCGGGGCTTCTGGCTCTTGCCAGCTCGATCACGCCCTTTTCGGGTCGGCCTCTTTACTGTATTGGGGGAGCTCCGGGGGGGCTGCTTGGTGGGGGCCTGTGCATCGGGGTCCACCATGGGCATCTTGATCACCACTTCGGAGCCGGGCTCCTCACCCTCCGAGGAGGTGAGGGACTCCATGGAGCCTTCATCCTCTTCCTCTTCCTCCTTCCAGCTGTAGGCCTGCAGCAGCCTGGGGGCCCGGCAACAGCGACAGCAGCGGCCCGGAGGAGTCTCTGGTGAGCCCTCAGCCCCTGGCTGGGACCTCTCTGAGCTGCTGCTGCTGCCACCCCCTTTGCCTGGCGTCTCAGAGCCCTGCAGGGCAGCTAGCTCCCGTGCCCGGTTCTCCGTCTCCCGGTAGATGCGCCAGTAGAGTGTGCACATGACGGTGACAGGGAGGTAGAAGGCAGCCATGGCTGTGCCAAAGGTGATGATGGGCTGGGAGAGGAACTGGATGTAGCACTGCCCAGCCAGCACCGTCCGCTCCCCTACCAGGTACTGCCAGAAGAGAATGGCTGGGGCCCAGAGGACGAAAGAAACCAGCCAGGCGAGGCCAATCATCAGGGCTGCCCGGCGAGGCGTGCGCTTGGCACGGTAGCTCAGGGGCCGAGTCACAGAGAAGTAACGGTCAAAGCTGATGAGCAGCAGATTCATGACGGAAGCATTGCTGGCCACATAGTCCAGGGCCAGCCAGAGGTCACAGGCCAGCGTGCCCAGAGCCCAGTGGCCCATGAGCAGGTAGGTGGTGTAGAGGTTCATGGAGAAAGTGCCAATGATGAGGTCAGCGCAGGCCAGGCTCAGCAGAAAGTAGTTATTGACTGTCTTGAGTTCCGTGTTGACCTTGAAGGAGATGAGGACCAACAGGTTGCCTGTCACTGTGGCCAATGACAGGAGGCCTGTGGTGATCCCAATGAAGGCCACTTGCCAGGGGCCCTTTCCCGGTGCCAGGACAGTGATGTTGGGGCTGACAGCGGGTGGGGCTGAGGTGTTCATGGTGGCCATGTGGGGCTTGGGGACAGCCTCTTCCTCCAGTCACACTACAGGGCTTCCTCAGAGGAGGGTCATCACCTGAAAAGAGAGGACATGGGTTTAGGCTGGGCCGCTGGGCATCGCTGATAGCCTGTAGTGGACAGTGCTGAGGTCACAGTTCCTGTCTTCTCAGAGCTTCAGGCCAGACAGATCACCCTCCCTTACTGGTGCCCACACTCAGTCATTTAGAGTGCACCTTCCCAGCCATGAGTGGATTTGCCAGCAGCATGGGGTGGCTTTGGAACCCAGGGATCTGAGTCCTCATTCCAGCTTCACCAATCAGACTCTCAACCTCAGTTTTTTTTCCTCATTGGGAAATTAGCACTAATTCCTTTTCTTTCTTTCTTTTTTTTTTTGGAGGCTGGCTGGTACAGGGATCAAACCCTGGACCTTGGTGTTATCAGAACAACCACCTGAGCGAACTGGCCAGCCCAGCACTAATCCCTCTCCTGTGGCGTGAGTTGGGAGACTCCCTTTGTATGCACAGTCCTGCCAGATTTTCAAAGCATTCCATTCACCTTATTAAAGCCCTCATTCACTGAAGTTACTACATGCCAGACACAGTGCTAAGCATATAATTGAATTACCTAATTTAACCATTGTACATCTCTAGGAGGAAGGGCTCTCAACATCCCCATGTCACTGTGAGGCGACTGTAGCTCTAAGCAGCTGCGAGGCTTGGCCACGGTCACACAGGCGGCGAGTATGACTAGAACCCAGTCCTTGCTCTCACCGAGTATGTGAGCTCCAGTGGGATTCCCTTTTTTTTTTTTTTTTTTGGGGGCTGGGGATCTGAACCCTTGACCTTGGTGTTATAACACTAGGCTCTCCAAAGTGAGCTAACTGGCCAGCCCTCCAGGGGGATTCGTCCATCAAATAACGAGATATAGAGAAATATCACGTTCTCACTTCTTTGTGGGAGCTAAAACTAAATAAATAAATACACAGATAAACTTGGGGGGTGGGGAGAAGACACAACAATTACAATTCCTTGAAGTTGATACGACAAGTGAACAGAAAGGACATTGTTGGCGGGGGAAAGGGAGGCTTCAGTAATGGGCCACGATAATCAACCACGTTGTATATTGACAAAATAAAATAATATTAAAAAAAATAAGGAGAGACAGGAAGAAAGGGGAGGGCTCCAGAGAAGATAAGGGAAAGAGATGGGAGCAGAGGGGCGCCGTATGAATACATGTGCGCACGTATGTGTATTTGTGTCTGCACGTTTTTCTGTGGGTGTATATGGTGGTGGTGGTGGTGGGGGTTCAGCTGGATTAGACCCTTCATGACGGCAACAGGGAAAGTTGTGCTGGGCCTGGACACTTGCTTAGTGATAAGAAGGTCTGCAGTAAAAGCAGAGACGAGAGCCTCAGCTCCCAGCTAAGAGGGGGTCTGGCCCCATATGGGGTGTGCGAGGGCCCCCTCCCTCTCCTGGTGCTGTTCCCAAGCCCCAGCTGAGTAGGGGGGAAGGAAGGGGAATGGGAAGATCCCCCAGACTTTTCTTGGATATGGAGTCTGGCCCAGGCACTAAGGTGGGGTAAAGAGAAAGGCCAGGACGCTTAGCAAACTCCTGACTGGGCAAAGTGAAGCCAGATTGAAGGGTGAGGGTCCAGGTCAGCTCATCCACGGCCTTGCTGCTCTGTGATTTGGCAGGTCTCTTCCTGTGCTGGGCCTCAGGTTTCCATCTGCCCATTGAAGAGTGTGGTGGTCCCCCCAACCTACAACTGTGGCCTTCAGGGGCTGTATTGTTGGAAAAATTCCAAGGGAGAGATGTTGGGCAAGGGCTCACCAAGCCGTGGCGTTTCTTGGGGAGCTGGTCTGTGACAGAGAGACTGAAGCACTGTGAATGTGATAGATGGCCTTGGTGGTGTGTGGCTCAGGACACCTCCAGGGCTCATGGTGAACTGCCAGTACGTGAGAGCAGCTCCCAGCACGGGGAGGTCAGTGTGGGACAGAATGGACAAGAAGACCGTGGCAGTCAGTGTGTGCTCATGTGCCTGGGACAGTTTGCACATGAGGAGGCATGTGTAACATCACAGTTGAAGAATGCACTCTGCAGCCAGACTGTCTGGATTTGAATCCAGGCCACACTATTTACTGGGTGTACGATTATTGCTAGGGATACACTTCTATATGCCTTGGTTTTCTCAACTGGAAAATGGGAATAATACCTATTAGCTAATGGCATTAGTTAATATCTCAAGGAACTGTGGTGAGGGTTAAGGGAGTCAATGAGCATGAAGGGCTTGGGCGGAAGGAATAACGAGCAGTTATTGCTTAATTGGTACAGAGTTTATGTTTAGGATGACAAAAAATTTTGGTAATAGATGAAGGTAGTGGTCACACAGCATTGTGAATGAATTAATTCCACACAATTGCATGTTTAAAAATGTTTGAAATGGCAATCTTTATGTTATATATATTTTAACACCAAAAAAAAAAAAAAAAAAGAATGTAAAGCACTTAGATCAGTGTGTGTGACAGCAGCTCTCAGCACTGGGGGACCCTGTGGGACAGAATGAGCACATGGTCAGCACTAGGTCCCCATTAACTCTTAGTATGTGTAGCAAAGAGGGCTCCCTCCTGCCTAGGAGTGTCTTCTCCTCTGATTAAAAATCTCTGATGCTACGACAACAGTAACTAATAATCATAATGTCCATTGCTGGTATTTAGAGCTCCCTGAGGGCCAGTCGCTACTACAGTGCTTACATGCATATTAATCTTTTTTTTTTTTTGGTGGCTGGCCGGTACGAGGATCCTAAGTCTTCACCTTGGTGTTATAACACTGTGTTCTTTCTTTTTTTTTGTCCTTTTTTTTTTGAGACCGGCTGCACCGCGCTCAGCCAGTGAGCGCTGTGAGTGCACCGGTCATCCCTATATAGGATCCGAACCCGGGGCGGGAGCACTGCTGCACTCCCAGCGCCATACTCTCCCGAGTGCGCCACGGGCTCGGCCCATAACACGGTGTTCTAACCAACTCAGCTAAGCAGCCAGAACGTTGTTTCTTTTATTTATTTATTCATTTTATTTAATTTAAAAAATTTTTTATTTATTTATTTTTTGTGAACAGCCGCACCGCACCCAGCCAGTGAGCACTGCGGCGCCATCCCTATATAGGGTCCGAACCCGCCACGGGAGCACTACTGCGCTCCCAGCGCCGCACTCTCCCGAGTGCGCCACGGGGTCGGCCCTAATTTTTTTTAAAAAGATGACCAGTAAGGGGATCTTAACCCTTGGCTTGCTGTTATCAGCACCACGCTCAGCCAGTGAGCTAACCGGCCATCCCTATATGGGATCTGAACCCATGGCCTTGGTGTTATCAGCACCGCACTCTCCCAAGTGAGACACGGGCTGGCCCCAGAACCTTGTTTCGTTTGATCTGAACAGGAACCTATGACCTAGGGGTTGCCGGTATCTCCATTTTACAGATGAGGAAACTGAGGCTGGGAAAAGCCAGAGAACTTGCACAAGATCACACAAGTTAAGTAGGAATCAGGATTTGAACCCAAGCAGTGTGTGCCAACAAAACTTCATTTGCAAAATCTGATGGTTAACCTGGAGGCTGTCGTTTGCCAATTTAAATTTTAAAAATATTACATTAATATGTGATTTTTTTTTTGGTGGCTGGCCGCTATGGTGATCTGAGCCTTTGATCTTGGTGTTACAAGGCTGTGCTCTAGCCAACTGAGTCAACTGGCCAGCCAAATTTATCTTGATTACTGAGTTTTATTGCACCTCCTCCCTTAGCCAAAGTCAGACACTAGGCTGGAGGCTGGGATCAGGCAGCGGCTTTCTCCAGTGATCCCAGTGAGGTCACTGGTGCATACCACCCTCGAGAATGTGCCCACACAGCTCTTGTCCCTTTGGTCTTCTGAACTCAGTGCAGTTTAATGCTCATTGCACAAAGGGAGGAGCTGAAGCCCAGAGGAAAAAGGGTTGAAGGCGTCATCCAGCCCAAGGTCTCCTGGCTCCTAAACTGGGTACTGCCCTTCACCCTCCACCCCCCAGGGGCCTTGGAGCAGCTGTGTAGCCCTGGGCCCTGGGCAATGACCTGCAAAGGCTGAGTCAGACAAGAGGAGCTTGCTGGCCTGAGAGGCTGCACCTCTCCAGCTGCTGCGTCCTCCCAGCAGCCTGGGTATGGGGCCACCTCTAAAGCTTGGCTCCTAACACCACAACAGGCTAGGACAAGGGTGACGCCAGTCAGGCACTTGCCTCGGGTGCAGAATTTAAGGGTGTCCCATAACTCAGTAATCAAGAAAATATTTTAATGCAATATTTAAAAAAATGGAAATTAATGCAAAAAATCTACGATGAGCACAATGTTAAACAAAGACAGGATCCAGCCCCATCCTTGCACGGCCCTGTCTCGCTTGCCTCACCCTAATCCTGGCCCTTATTCCAATGAAACTTTATTTACAAAACAGACAGCCAGCCTGTGGGCTGTAGTTTGCCACTTAATTAAAAAGACTATTACATTACGATATTATTGGTCTTGATCAGTCAGTTTTTTGTGTGCCCCTCTTAAATTTTGTTCTGAGGCAAACCTCACTTAATGCACGTTAATCCTGGAGTTGTGGACCATAGCTCTGGGTTTGTTTTTTTTTTGTTTGTTTTGTTTTGGTGGCTGACCAGCATGGGTATAGCCCTGGGTTTGAAGCTCCATGCTGTCCCTTCCTAGCCATGTGACAATCAGCAATCACTTAACCATTCATTCCCCCACTGCCCCTCAGTCCCCAGCCGATGGGGTAATAGCATCCAAAATGTCTGGCACTGGGACAGACACTCAGTTAAGGGTCTCTGTTGCTTTTCCTGATCCTTATCCCAGCTACTTCTCACCATGCCTCTTCCCCTGCAGACCCTAAGCACAGCCCCTCTCTGGCCCCAGTTTGCTCATTTGGAAGTTGGACTCGCCTGGTGTCTGGGGAGGCTTAATGGGGTCCTGGAACCAACATCTCAAGATGCTGAATGGAAAGGACCCCAGTCCTGAAGAAAGGCTGGAGCCCCTCTCTGGCCCCAGTTTGCTCATTTGGAAGTTGGACTCGCCTGGTGTCTGGGGAGGCTTAATGGGGTCCTGGAACCAACATCTCAAGATGCTGAATGGAAAGGACCCCAGTCCTGAAGAAAGGCTGGGGCCCCTCTCTGGCCCCAGTTTGCTCATTTGGAAGTTGGACTCGCCTGGTGTCTGGGGAGGCTTAATGGGGTCCTGGAACCAACATCTCAAGATGCTGAATGGAAAGGACCCCAGTCCTGAAGAAAGGCTGGGGCCCCTCTCTGGCCCCAGTTTGCTCATTTGGAAGTTGGACTCGCCTGGTGTCTGGGGAGGCTTAATGGGGTCCTGGAACCAACATCTCAAGATGCTGAATGGAAAGGACCCCAGTCCTGAAGAAAGGCTGGAGGCCCACTTAGGTTCTCCCAATAGGGGCTGGAATGACAGCTCAGGATGGGAACGTGGATCTCTGCCCATGACTAGCTCTTGCCAGAGGAGAGCTATAACTGTGACGAATTTAAAAAATGCACCAGAACAGGGGGACCTGTGGGAAGAAGGAACCCAAGGGGTCCTTGGAGACGAGAAGGCTGGCAGTCCCTTGCCTTGATGGATGGAAATCCCTTCCAACTTTCCCATTTAATAGTCATATTGAGAACCACTATAATTAATACTTCCTGCATTCCAGGCACTTTATGTACAAGATTATTCCCTTGAATCTGTCGGACACCCCAATGGGCACCCCAATGGGGGGTTCTTATCTCTATATTATAGATGAGGACACTGAGGCTCAGGGGGCTAAGTGGCTTTCTGATGGTCCCACAGGAAGGGGTGGAGTTGGGATTCTGACCTCAATCTGTGGACTCCAAGGCCTGTGGGTTCTTTGCACTTGGAAACCCTCTATGCCCCACCTAGGCACTGTGAGGGCTGAGACTTCCCATCTGGAAGAGCTGGCGGGAAAGAGAAGGGGCAGAGGTTCTGGGCAACTGGAACCTGATTCTTAACACCCCCTGACCCTTCTGTCCCCTGTGCTACAGCCCAAGAACAGACCCGTCAATGACTCTGCATTTCCAAAGTCAAAAGCCCCAAACCCTCTCTTGGACGGTGAAAGAGTGCAGGAGAAGGTTCCTGGAGATGTGCTCTAGTCCCTGCTGTGTGACCTTGGTCAAGTCTCCTTCACTCTCGACTGGGGACAATCTTCTACCTGTTCAAGGTACTGTGGGATCAGCAAGATGGTGGTAGTGAAAAAACCCGATTTCTTGTGATTGTGGCTGATTCTCCTGGGGAGACTAGTCCTGGGCTGAGAGTTAGTGTGCCAGGGTTCAGCGGTGGCTCCAGAGTTCCTACAAAGGAGGGGCTTAGGGTCATCCATCTGGTTGAAAGGGGGGCTTGCAGCTACCTTTGTAGAGCACATTCTGTGAAAACATCCACGGGGGTGTGGGAATTGGCCAGTGGGGACTGCAGTGGGTGGGGAGAAGACTCTCCAAGGCAGTCTTTGGCTCTGCCTCTGTCTGGCTTCAAGCTCTCATCTTGCTGTGTGACCTTGGGCAAGTCACCGTCCTGACCTGGTAGCCCTTCTGGGGGATGGGGGTGACCTCCTAGGATGAGTGTTTGTGTGTGAGGGTGTGTGGGAGTGGGCAGGGAAGAGGGGAGGTGCTTTTCTGCCTAGAACTGTGGCCTCCTGATGAAGGCTGCAGGGAACCTTTAATAATTTTACTAATATTGTCATAGCAACTGATATTTACTGACTGCTTACTACATACCAGACATAGCTCTAAGCATTATATACATGATTTAATTTACCTGTTCCTTGTGAAGTAGGTTCTTTTTTTATCCCCAATTTGTAAAAGGGGCAACTGAGAGACATTTCAAGACCTTAAGGACCTTACAGCTCATCAGTGCTGCAAGCAGGATTTGGACTCAGGAAGCCTGTTTCCAAGACCGACATCTTATCCGCTACTCGAAATTGGTCTTGAGGGGATAGGCAGGTTCATCAACCCCCTTGCTCACCTCAACTAGCTTGGCCAAACCCTAGTTTGAATCAGTCAGCAGTGAGGAGTCAGTCCGTCCCTTAGCATCCGGTCTGTGTGTGTGTGTGACAGTGTCTGCCATCTCTCTGTGTCATGTATGATGACAGCACTGCGGCAGGGTATGGGCTGTGTCTGCTTCATTCACTGCTTTATCCCAGGGCTTGGCACATAGTAGTTGCTCAATAAATATTTGTGGCATAAATATATGAATGTGTACGTGGGTTTGTCCCACTTGACTTCAGACCCTGGAGCATAAGGATGAGCCTGCGGGGGTCAGGACAGGCTCCAGAGCATGGCCCACAGGCCCCTCTACCCCCTCCAGCTCCCAAATCCCCTCATCTGCCAGGCCCCTAATGTCTGGGTGAGGCCCTGCCTGGCTTGAAAACACAGGAGAAAAGCAGCCAAGAGCATCCTCTCGTACAATGGACCAAGGAAACCCTGTCTCACCAGGCTGCAGGGAAGCTAAGTGAGTTGACAGGAAGGGCACGGGTGTGTGATGGCGCCTGTCATTGTGGGGGAAGGAAAATGTCAGCCTGGGCTCAAAGGGTTAAGGGATGAGGTCAGAGCCTCTAATGCATCAGACCAGACTGTTGACCGCCTGCGCCCCGGACCAATCCCCAGGGGCTGGGGATCTGGCTGGTGAGAGGAAGGCGGAGGGGAGAGAGCCCTGGGGGAGGCAGGGAGAGGGAGTTGGGGAGAGGGATTCCTGAGCACTAGGCTTTCCTGAATCTTACCAGTGGTCAAGGAGTGTAGAAGGGGAGGCAGAGAGTGAGGGTGCTGGGGAAGAGGTTTAGAAGGGAGAAGAGCAGCCATTTTGTGATTCTGGGCCTGGAAGCTGGCAGAACCTGGGACGATGTGAGAAGGAGGTACGTGGAGCGGCTGTGGCGGGGCACCTGGGATCTCATCACGCAGCACGGAGGGTGCTCCTTCTGGCCAGGTCTCCTGACGGGTCCCTTTCGCTGGGACCCTAACCCAGAAGCCAGTCTGTCTGAGGTGGCTCTCTCCCCCTAGGATAACTTTTCTCTGAAGGTAGCTCCTGACCTGTTACAGATGCTCAAAACTTCCACCTCTGATGCCCGGCCTTGGGAATGAGGGAGTAAACAGGTCAAATCAATCACCTTTTCAGGCTCAACAGTCACCAGCAGGAGTGCCAGCTAGCCCTGTGGAGGGCAGCAGCCATCAGTTAAATGCTACAGCAACGCTCTGCTGGGCCGGAAGAGGAACGTCAGCCCTGGAACCACCACCAGATTCGCTCACCCGTGATGGACCTTAACCAGTTGCCCAACTTGAGCCGGACCATGCCAGAGCCTGTCCCTTCGCAGGCCAGTCCCTACACCTTCCTCTGCCAGTGTGGCATCAGAGGTGTTGGGGCCCCAGTCTCCTCTCCGCATGCCCCCTGCTCCATGCTCCTTGCACTCCCTTCCCCACTTCCTTCTTTCCTCTCCCTCCCTCCCCCATTCTTCTAAGCATCACCATGGTACCACGGCAGAGCAGAAAGCCAGCGATCACCCCCTTCTCCCCAGCCGCCTGCCAGGGAACCCAGGCTCCTGCCTCACAGGGCTTGCCGTGCCCCCTACCCCCCCATCATCCTGCTCACCAAGATGGCAGCCCAGCATTGTGCTGAGGGGGAGAAGAATGGGGTCCAAGCCCCAACTGGACCCATAAATATTCCTTCTGTGACCATGAGCCTGTCCCTTCCTCTTTCTCAGCCTCAGTCTCTCCATCTGCACAATGGGAAAATTCCTTTCTAGGTCTGACATGACCTCTGCCTAGCCCCTCCTGGACACTTTGGACTCCCCTTTGCACTTCAGGATCCAGTCCTCAATCTCCAACCACCAGTCTGTGAGCCAAGAGTGACATCTTCAGCAGCCCCATTTCATTATCTCCTCCTCTTTCATATCTCAGCAGCGATCGCAGCTTGCCTGGTGGCTGAGGTCAGGGGAGAACTCTCATCTGACAGTTCAGTGAGCAGCTGATTACCCAAGGAGAGGAGACTGTCCAGCTGCTGGAGATGGCCTGGCTCCTTCCTGCCAGTTGGGCAGGGGGGCCTGGTCAGTCTGCGTGGAGCTGCAGGTGTGCTTTGTGGGAAGAGGTGAACACTTACTTCTCCACTGGCACTGATAACCCCCAAGCTGCACATATCTGAATGATCTAAGCTGACTATCCCGTCTCCAGCAGCTGCCCAGGCACTATCAACTCTGCAAAAATCAAAGCTCTTGGCCCGCAGCCCATCCCCTCATTGTGGAGTCTGAGGGCACTGGGATGGGCACCTGCCATGGGTGCCCATTAGTATCCATCCGTTACCTGCACAGAGGACTGAGACCTGCCCTGCAGGTACCTGAGATACAAGAAACAAAGGAGGGCCCTCTGGGCCCCTGCACATGTCAGGGCCACATTCCCTGGCTAGTGTAGTCAACCATGTGCCCATTTGTCCCCAGAGAGCCCTGGGGCCCTTTGCCTAGTCTTCTGCTGGCTTCTGGCCCAACACCCACCTGGCATCCAGCTTGTCCATCGGGCCAGCAGCCTGGTTCAGTCCATCTTGGGGGAGCTGGAGGTGGATGGGGGTGGTGGGATTCAGGGTGCCCTGAAGGAGGAGAGGAGGAGGTTCTGGGACTGGCGCTGCAATTAAGGGGGGGTCAACCTCCCATAGGATGCTGGTGGCAAGGGCTGCCTCTTGGTCCCCTGCCCTTCCCACACTGTCCTTAAGGTGCTGGGGGATCTGCCTGCTTCAAGGTAGCCTAATCTCTTCCAGTTTCCTAAGGGGGTCTCCATCTCTTCCGCCAGCTGAAGCCCAGAAAAACATAAGATATATCCACTCAAAGCCAGGAGATGGGGTGTTTGGAGTAGCCAATGTCCAATCCTACAGAGCCCCCTTGGCCTCTAGACCCCTCCCTGACTTCCTCTCTCGGGGGTCCATTTTCGTCTCATCCTGGTCCCTGCCCTACCCCGAGGACTCTGCTTCTCTTGCTCCCACCTTGTTGAAGTCCCTCCCAAACCCTCCCAAATGTACTCACCATGGGCTGGAGAGGGATCTGTAGGGTCTTCAGCCCCACTGTCTCCCCGGGGGGCTGGCGGCGTCTCCAGGGACCCAAACACCTGGCTCCCCGGGGGGAGCTGCGCCCTGTGCTGGCAGCGGGAGAGGCACAGCCAGTGATTGGCATGTCCCACCCCCTGGCACGCCAGCCTGGGGGGGGGGAGGAAGGAAAGGAAAGAGAGGGAGGGAGGAAAGGAAGGGAGGGGGAGCTGGAGGGAAGCCTCAGGCAGCGTCTGGGGTTGGACTAGGTCCTGGAGTGTGCCCCCCTCCTCAACCAGGGAGCCCAATTTGAGCCCCAAGAGGGAGGAGGCAGGACATGAGAAAGGCGAGCCCAGGAAGGCTAAATGTCCAGGACAGGAGGGAAGGCGGATACAGGGAGACAAACACCCACACCCACTGCACACAGACTCGGCGGCACACACACACACACACACAAACACACACACACACACACACACACACACACCCTCATAAAGGCACACTGTTTCCCCAGCTCCTTCCCCCACCCAACCTTAGAACCCCCAGCCCGCGTGCACCATGCCCCAACACACATGCCCCGGTATTCACATGCCTGCTTCTCTCGCACACACGCCCTCCCCCCTGCACATGCCCACGCGCCCACCCACCCAGCCACACACCCTGCTCTTCCTCCCTGCTGCGAGGGAGCTAGATTCCTTCTGTTTGGAAATGACACATTGGGCCTCACGTGAGAGGCTCGAACTTGGAACAGACCCAGAGGGCTGGTGCGCCCGCCCTGGGGGCTGAACGGACGTGCCTGCACGCTGGGCTGTGTGGTCTAGCATCTGTCTGTGCCTGCATAGCCCCGTGTGAGGGTGATGGGTGTCTGGTTTGCGGGGATGAGTGAGGGGCTGTGTGCCTGCTCAATGTGCTGCCAAGTGCCCTGCGTGTGTGTGCCCCTGTGTACCCATGTTGCCATGCAGCCTGTGTAAATGCAGGTGTGACCCTGTCGGTCTGGAGGCAGGACTCATGTATATGTGTGTCTGTATTCGGTGTGTGTCTGTGTGTTGCCCAACCGTGGAACTTGCTAATTCTGACAAGTGAGGCAGCCTCTACCTCCCTGCCTGCTCCACCCCCAGCTTCCACTTGGAAGACAGACAGACAGGCAGACAGACAGCTCTCCTCCCAGTTTGTCAAACTCTGTCTCCCCTGACTCCTACTCAGGGCTCACAGGTGTGTACCTGGGAGATGAGGAGCCCTTTCTCCCCACCTCCCTCAGCCATACTGCTTGGTCAAACCCCCAGGCTGGTTTGCATTTCTGTGTTGAGTTTCCCCAGAGATTGAACCCCTGGGGGGTCCTTTGCCATAGAGACCTGGGGTCCTGCATGCTCTCATCTGGCCCTAGAGACCTCCCAGGGAGCTGACCATGGGGGAGAATTGGGGAGGCCACAGGGACTGGCTGGGGCTGCTGTGTTCTTTGTGCCACTGGACTGTGCTGAAGCCCTGGGGTGGGAGGTGGAAAGAAATGGGATCCAATTATTCCCATTATGTAGATGAGGAAGCTGAAGAGCAGAGGTGTGATTAGTAGGGATGGGCAAGTGTCTGGACTCAGTTCCTTGGCTCTAAGGCCAGGTCTCTGGAGTCTGGGGCAGGGGCTTTGTTGCCTGCTCCACTCCTTTCTCCTGCCCATTTTCCCACCAACACCCCCCCCCCCCATCAAGCTGATGCCTGAGGGTAGCCTGGGGCTTCCTCACCCAGGCGCCCAGTTGCCAATGGAGACAAGTGGAGCAGAGACTGGAGTCCCTGGGGCTTGGCCAGCAGCCATCAGGTGCCCGTGGTGGGCACACGTGGCAGGTACATGTGGGGGCATATCCTCTTCTCAAAGCAAACAGAGCCTCGAGCAAGCAGCCAGTTCCTCTCCCTTCTGAAATCGGGCGAACACCAGCTTGGAGAGAAATCTGAGCACCCCGCACCGCAGGGTCACCCTGCAGGTCAGGGTTGGGTCATAACTCGACCAGTCCCTGCCCGTGGGCGCGGATTCGGGCCGCCCCCTGCTGGACTGTCGTGGGTTTGCGGCTGCGGCTCGTGCGCGCCGTGGGGCAGCGTGTACTTGTGCGCGTACACGTGGCTGACTGTGGGGGTGTCAGGCCTCCACGCTCAACATGCATTTCCGAGTCTGAATCAGGCTCCCTCCTTGCCCCCTCCCCCCAATCTCCTTGGTCTCCCTTTTCTCTTCTCCCACCGCCTCTGCACACGTCCCTTTAGAAATAAAAACACTTATTTTGTGAGCGGCAGAGGAGGGTGTCCAGCTTTCCCCCTGCCTCCTTCCGAGCGCCCCCCTCTGTCCCACGCGGCTTCCTTAAGTCCGTTCAGCCGCGGAGGCAGGGGGATGACGCCCCCCCGACTGTAATACTTTTCTTGCTTCCCTGCCTATGGTTGGCTAGGCCCCCTTTCCAGATGGGGAAACTGAGGCAGGAGGGGAGAAGGGAGGTAGGACCGGGAGAAGCGCTCCCGCCCGGCTCGCTCACCACCCCCGCACCCGAGCCTGATTTAGCCGCAGGGAGGCTGGGAACATTGTCTTTATTTTAAGCCGCCGAGTGCGGCACGAACGCGGCTGCTCGCGACAAAGGGCTTAGCCAAGCGGCTGCAGGCGGTGCACGTGGGGGCCCGGCCCCGCCCGCGCACGACCCCTGGCCACCCTCGGGCAGCGGGGCCTGACCCTCTGCAGCTCTCCCTCCTCTCTGGCCGGGTGCGACGGGGGCTGGCGCAGGACTCCTGAGTTTGGGCTCCTGCCGGTTGCTATTTTTGGTCGCCTGGCCGAGAATACACTCCTCCAGGCCACCGAGGGAATGCGGAGTAGCCCTTGTGTGGCTTGGCCTCGATCTCAAACCCCTCACCGTGGAGGAGCAGAGAGGCTGCCCAGGGTGCAAATCCAGCTCATCCTTTTTGTAGCTGAACAGCGCCGAGCAAGTCAGTGCCCCTCTTTGCTCAGCCTCAGTTTCTTCATCAATGACATGGGGGGTAGAAATACCTCCCTAAAAAGGTTGTGTGACGGGTTAGTTGGGCTTGCATTAAACGTGGCGCGTGCCGCTGCAAAAAAAGCAAAAGGCATTATTTTGTTGTTATTTATAACGCGTACCGAGCACTTACTAAGCGCCAGGCGCTGCTGAGCGCTCTGCATCCATTAACTCGTTTGCTTCTCACAACTCCCTAAGGGAGATTCTGTTATCATCCCATTTTACAGATGAGTAGATTTACAAGTGGCGCGCACGCCTGGGGCTCGTGGAGGGTGCGGTCAGTGTGCCTGGAGGCATCGGGGGCTGGGGCTGGGGTGGGAGTGTGCAGGCTGCAGTTCCAGCCACGGCAGGGACCGTGGGACAGCACTTCTCAAAGGCCCGGAGTCTGGGCTGAGCGCTCTCACAGTGTGCGCCCGCAGCCCCTTCCACTTTAAATCCTCACTCTCGGCTTGAATCAATGTCCCAAATTCAACCCCATCTAAAACTGCCACTTCCTAGTGTGGCTTCCACTGTCCTGGGGGAAGGAGGCCAGGGTGGGCGATCCGTCCTTCTCGCCCCACCAGGCCTATGAAGACGTTGGTTGTCTTTGGCGCCTTTGGGAAGGGGCAAGGGCAGGTGGCCTCACCCCTTGTGGGTGTCAACCTCCGCTGGGAGGCAGCGGGTCGGCCTGAGGGCGTCTCTCCCCATCCCCTTGTCTTAGGCCCTCAGCCTTGTCCACCCTCCTCCTTCCCCGAGAAACGAATTCCCAGATTTATTTTTATTTATTAATTTAATTTTGTCAATATACAATGTGGTTGATGTTTGTGTCCCATTACCCAAACATCCCTCCCCCCTCCTCCTCCCCCTCCCTCCCTCCTCCTCCTTTCTCCTTCCCTCCCCCTCCTTCCATCCGCCCCTCCCTCCTCCCCCTCCTTCCATCCTC